ACATATTTATTATGATATTATCGTTGTTGATAACGATAACTTAAAACATTGTCGTATCGAATGAAATGTGTTCGATTAATACACGAACTAATCCCTTTTTTATACTAATTGGATATGTAGTGTGTCATAAGTGGTGAGATGTCGGTAATGGTGAAGGATTTATGCATTAAATTTTTTTTTTTTTTTTTAAATGAATAGAGATGTGTTCCTGAGATTGTGTTGGGTGGAAGAAACGCATTTTGTTCTATGGGAAATGTTTTGAATCCGGAGATCCACGTTCGTTTTTGTCCTTCTATGAGTTATTCAGCTGTACAAATTAAAATAGAAAAATCATGATTTTGCGTTGGGTCGGACATGAACGTCGAATGTAAGTTTTTATTGGTGCTTAGAAATTAACGCCTTTCCTGTGCGCCGTGCGTAAGATACATTTGCTCATTACACATGAGAATAGTGTGTTGAGTTTTAACTGTTGTTAAACGTTTCATTATTGGATAATCATTCATTGGCGTAATAACGGCTTGGCATTCGGGCAGTTGCCAAGGGCGCCGGCCTGCGCCAGTTCAAAAGGGCTTCGGCCTGCGCCAGTTCAAAAGGGCGCCGTTAAATCTCTAATAATCTCTAATCAAGGGCGCCAAAAATAAATTAGCCAAGGGCGTCAAAAACCCAGTTACGCCTCTGTATTCATTCCTATTCCAAGGTAGGCAAACCTTTTTTTTTTTTTTTACAAAATAGCCAGAGTTGTGGGGAATGAAAAGTAAAATTCACTATACTTTATGAAATCATAAAACACTACTACTACTATAACATCAAATGAGAGTAAATACCACCGAATGCGGCGCCTCTGCTCGTTTATATTATTTTAACCCTTGAGGCGGACGATCGCGCCTTTTTTTTAAAAAATACCCATATAATCCACCTGTGGCGCAGAACGCCCCAGCTGTTGCACGCGAGCGTGTGAGAGTGAGTGAGTAGTCTCGATAGTGTGTCAGTGGGTGCGCTCCGCTGAATGAGTGAAACTGTAACATACAGGTAACCTGGCTATGTTTGGATAACCCAGTTGAAATCTATAAAAATGAAATGTGAATAAGTCGTAAACAGCAGGGACGGTACCATTTTGGTGTGAACCAACTTGACTAAGAACGTGGCGACGTTATGCCTGGGCCTGGCACCGTAACAGGCTAATCGGTTCTTGTTTTCCTGCAGCTGACCTGTGACCTGAGGAAATACTTCATGCACACAGAAGAATGTCTGCTGTTGCCGAAAATAAAATGCGCCCTTTAATTTAAAAAAAAAACAAAAAAAAAACAATCGACGCCCGGGCTGGACCCACATCCGCCCCCCCCCTTTTTTTTTCTACGCCACTGATTCCTGGCTTATTTAAAGGCGTGGGACTGTGTAATAATGAATATACAAAGGGTAGAGTGATAATGAGTTGGGTTTAATTTTTAACAAATTGATACTATTGATTACGCAGCATTAACGAGACCACGTTTACCCAACCTTTATATTCTAATCAGCAGTGAACAGAATCCCTACGAACTTTAGACCAAGTCTCGCACCCTTATAAAAAACAACAATTCATTTTAAATTGTAAATTGGAAAAAAAAAAAAAAGAGATCATTTTCGTTGGGGGGGTTGTCATGCATTTTGTCGCATACCAGATTTCATCCTGCTACACTTATTAGGATCATACAAAGCCTTTATTTTTAGTTGTCACTCCAATAATGCTGTTTTATTATATATATATATATATATATATATATATATATATATAATATATATTATATATAATATTTATATAATTTTGTCGCATACCAGATGTCATTCTGCTACACTTATTAGGATCATACAAAGTCTTTATTTTTAGTTGTCTCTCCAATAATGCTGTTTTATTATATATATATATATATATATATATATATATATATATAAAATATATAATATATATTATATGTATATATAATATATAAGTGTGTTTAAATTGCTTCAATAATGAATGTTCTTTAAAAAAAATGAGTAGGCCTACCGTTAAGAAATATATGCTAGCATACCGCCACCGTTGCAAGGCTTCGGATACATTGATTATTTATTACGCGGCATTAGCAAGATTATGGTTTCCCAGTCTTTATCTTTTAATCAGAAGTAAACTCCACCGCTAGACAAAGTCTCACATCCCCTAATAAATAACTAAATCATTTAAATTATATAAAAAAGACACCCATTGTCGCATTGATTATGATTATTTCCGTTGATAATTATCTTTTTTTTTCAGAAATTACACGAATGTAAAACATTTTTTTATGAATTCAACAAGATTTACATAGATCTATATCTTTTTTTTTTTCAACGAACGGAAAAAATGTTATTGAAAATGCCCAAATTTTGGAAAAATGAACTCGCTCCCCACTAGCTACGCTTCACCCCTGAAATGCCACCTCGCATCTTTTGAGAAAGTTGTTTTCATCGGGACAGCGCCCTCTTGTGTACCTACATAGCCCGGATGTGAAATGAACCTTAAAATGGCGACTAGCCTGTTGCAGTGTGATTTAGTATAGACACGGTTGTGCTGAAGTAATTTTTTTAAGGGTAAAAATACTATAAAGGATATTGCAACTCGGGCAGTAGCGAAACAAAATAGATATACTTTGATCCTTATTCTATTGTTATGAAAAATAATCATTGCGATGAGGAAGTGATTTGCAGAACAGCTGAGAGCAAGTGACCTAACTAAACTAAGCAGATGAACAACTGCTGAGGGAAATCCGGAAGTTTTTTTAACATTTTCAATTTGGCTTTGCTTTGGTATGCATAACCATATTCAGTTAGCATAAAATATTTGTCTAATTTTCATAATAAATTAGTAGTTAGTAGGCTAAATAGGTCTTAACCATAGACTAACTATGCTACTATACTAATAAGTTAGTAGTAGTAGTATTTAATAAGACTTAGTAAACTTAGTAATTTAGACATTTTTGTGTATGATTGTTGTCATTGACACAAGACAGATAAGACTAGTTACTAGTTAAGTAAGAGTACTCTAAGTTGTGAGAGTACGACCAAGTGAAGCTGGCCTATAATTTCTATTACTCTAATGACTAGGAGACCTAATTAGAGTTGGCTTATTTCTAATTAAACCTAAATTATTTGGGGGCCATCCATAATGAATAAAAAGTTGGAAGGAGGGTCCACATGAGTCATAGTCATAAAAATGTGTTAATGTGTAACTTATGATGACGTCACTGTCGTAGTCGTAGGAAGGGTGGGGCGGAACAGTTTGCATAGCAGCCCTTTTAAAAGAAATCTATTGAGGGGAAGAATTTTAGACCAATTGCAGAGTTTATTTGTTGGGAGGGGGGGCATCAATAATCTTTTCCCACCCAAGGGCAAGGGCCAGGCAGTTCCAACCCTAGCTTTGGGTTATGGCATGGACACCACTGGATAATGCAGATGCCTTTGATTTAAAAAGGGGGTGGGGGAGGTTTTCAAAAAATAACACTTGCTCCTCTTTTATTCCCCCCTCCCCCTCCCCCCCCCCTCTCTTAGTATGAGTCTAATAGTTACTTCTTGGTGAAACTTTGTCATTGTTTTAGGACTCTTACTTTCTAAAACTAACTTAGGAAATGGTTGTATATTCTATAGGCGTAAATGATTTCTCAGGACAATCTACTTTACAATTTCTATAGCATATTAAATATTAAACTGAAAACAAATGTGAACAAAATGTGAAAAATTTATTATTAAATAGGCCTATATAGGCTATATGTCGTTAGAATTTAAAACAATTAAATAAATGATCGTCACTAGTCATCTAGTGGTAGTTAGAGACAGAGAGTAAAGTGTTCACCTCCCATGAGAAAAAGAGAGATTGTGATCCCTGGACAATGCATTTTTTTCTTCTTTTCCTATTTAAAAAAAAATGTTTATCCTATCAAATGTTATCGGAGTTCAAGGTAAATTAAATCAAAACTGAAATATCCGTCAAATAAAGCTCGCTATCTGATGTACACAAGTAATACATACATAGAGTTAAAGAAATCTTATAGTTTATTAATTTTTGGTTGCAAGGATAGTGGTAAATGCGGTTTGAAGGTATATAAATATTTTGTTACTACATCTTAATATGTTCAAAAAGCGCAAATTTTAAGTATGACTGGACTGAATAGTATTTTATTTCATTCTTAATTTGTATTTTCAGTTTTTCTGGTTGTCTGCCTTCATGATTTTTTAACCATGTTTGGCAAAAAGAAAAAACCTAAGGTCGAGATCTCAGCTCCCTCAAACTTTCAGCATCGTGTTCACACTGGCTTTGATTGGGAGAATGGAGTATTTGTGGGACTTCCTGCTCAGTGGGCAGGCATCATTGAAGGCAGCAAAGGGCGACGTCGACCAATAGTTGACCCATCCACCATAACGCAAACTGACGTAGAACCCTTAAAGGTAGTTAATTTTTTTTAAATGCATTAAAAGTTAGGATGTTGTTAGTATCTAATAGTTCTTATAGCCAAAACCAGTGATCTAAATTAAATTGCAAATGCAAATTTTTAATATCTACATAATATAAAGAAATGAGTTTGCATTTACCTATATTATGAATATTTCTTCTTAAAAATTTTACAGGCGTTTTCATACATACCAATATATTCATTTGGAAAAAAAAAAGAAACTTAAAATGTGCATTATTTAAAAGTAATAACAACAAACATTTTATTTACTAAATGAATATTATTTTTTTAAATGATTTGTTTAAATTTATTTAGACAATTATAAGAGGACAACAAAATGGACATCCTCAAGGGATCAGTGTTGCTAGATCTAATTCACTGCGACGTGAAAGCCCACCGCCATACAGGAGACGTCCTCCAGGAAATGATTACCCAGCAGTACCAGAGGATGAAATGTTGCATCAGGCACCTAGGCAAGATTATGGCAGACACCAAGGTTTCCCACAGGGTCATCAACAGTATCAACAACAGCCAGCAAATCAAGGCCACAGAGACAGAGACCACGTAGAATACCCTGGTGAATATCCACAGTCTCAAGATCACGGTAGATATCATTCTTCACATCACCCACAACAGGAACAGGTTGATCCCAGAGGTCGTGGGGTCAGTTATTATGACAGAGATTACAGTTACAGTACTTTAGAAAAGCGACAGATGAACCCAGAGTTTGATGGGCGAATGAACAGCTCATATGATAGCCACCCCCGACAGGATGGGGGTCAGCCTTCACGGCACAGTCATTACGATGACCGTTCCATACCTCATCCAAACAACGACAGATTCCGTATGTCCAATGGTGCTTTGCCTTCAGCATCCCCCCGTCATCAGAGCATCCCCCCAGCTCACCAGGATCAGCCAAACTATGCCAGCATTTCCCGATCACCAGCAGCACTACAGTATGAAAGGGTGAGTGGAAATGTCTTACTTGTATCTTTTATTGGCGAAGTCTTTGTCTATTGCCCTCTACTGTATTTCAATAGTGAAGCACAGCCTGTTTGCCTCCTCAAGGGATTTTTATTGAAATTCTCTTTGTTGTGTTCATTCACTAGTAAATGTAAATGGTCAAAACTTTTAAGCTTTCTTCATCTGTGTAATCATTGTGATATGCATATACTAATGATTAAAAAAACATGAATGTAAACATGTACTTTCATCAAAGCTTTAATTAATTATTTCATGGTATTAGAATGACTAGTCATTTTAAAACCATATATTATTGGGGCAGCAGGATCAGTCAGTTCTTTACAAACATATTAGAAACCTGAGATGTAAGTTATCAGAACAATTGAGTTAGATTGGACTTCAAAAATAAGTATCCATCTCTGTAAAAGTGGGTGAAGCCCATGCAATGTATGTGATGTATTGTACTGTAATTCCCCATCAATAACTTGGGAAAGAGTAAGTCACAGCAATACATAAAAAAGTTCCAGTCTACATTACTTAGTAACTTAATTTTATTTTTTTTAATGGTGCATATGCTTGTAATCTTACTAAGTTGACTATTAATCCATTGTTTCCACATAGGGATCAATATGCATGTACAATTATTATATTTCAGAGTTTAACAAAACTAAAACAAATTAAGGAGCAAGCCTCCTTTTGAAAATAAATTCAGGTGCCAAGTAAATTTTATTAGATGCCATGGCTACCAGTCTAGTCCTTTTACATAGTAATCATAGTAATCCATAGGAAAATTAAGAATGTTCATTTTTAATAATAGGATAGCATCTATTATTCACTCAACCCCCCATCCCCCCCCCCCCCCCTTTTTTTTTTCTTTTCTTCTTCCCTGTTCATGTTAAGGGAGAGAAAAAGTGTATCAAGTCTAGGGCAGGAGAGAATAGGGTATTATCTTTACTGGGTTCTTCAACTGGCCAGGTTGTAGGGCTTATCTCAGGGTAGTAATAGGCTAATCAGTTGACTTGCTAGGGTTTGAGGGGCTTGTGTGGGGTGTGGAAGCACCTGCCATTAGTGTGTAGCGGAACAGCCATAATGACCTTATCATTAATGGGCTCTTTGGGACAAAACTATTTCCTTTATAAAATAAGATCAAGTCAACATTGTTACCACATAATTAAAGGCAGTTGATTTTTTTAAATTTGAAGCATAAATTGGTTTATTTGATGTTTTCTGCTGGCAACTTGAATACAAGAGAACAATTAAAAGAAACGTTTTCTTACTTTGAATAATAATTTCCATTAATTAATCTAAAGATGATTTTTAAATAGAGTTTATGTGAACCCTGGCATTTTATAATGACTCCATCACATATTTTATATCTTGAATGTGTTCTAAAGCATGATGCCTCTACTAAGAAGGTTTGTAACCATCAAAAGTCCTTATAAAATAGTAGGCACTAGTAAAAAAAATACTAGCAGCATGACTGAATCCTTTAATTCCACGACTCCGTTTTATCCCTTCACTCACTGCATGGTGTAGTGATCCAGCATTTTTTGTATGTTTGAGGAGAGATAAAGCATTGTCTTCTTTTCAGGCCAAAGTTTTGAGATCTTTACAGTACATATTATTTATACTATCACATAGCAAAGTAGCAATAACTGAAAGTAAACCAAAGAAAATGTAACTAAATATAGTTTCCAAAAGAAAAGGACACTTTCTGTAATGTAAAAAGTTCACTTACTTTGAAATAAAAAAAAAAAAAATTGAAGAAATTATCATTTATCTGCATTTTTTTAATATATATGAATAAGACATATTATGTCTTCAGTGTTTTTTAAATTGTAAAGCAGTAAATGTCTTTGTGCCATACCCAGGTACAAAAATAGAGGCTACTCTGAACTAGAAATTTGCTGAAAGCCAGGTTAACAGTCAAGGCCTGATAAGAATTTATGTTTCCCATGTAATGTGACACAGCTTTCCGTATTTGTTCTTATCCTCTCTAAAACCTCACCAGCATAATGATCACCCACACCAGACAACTCTTGGATACCAGCAAGGAGGCTCCCAACCAAGTCCTTCCTTATCTAGTCCCCCACACTCCCCCAACAGACCTCCCTATTCCCAGCAGTCTTCCCCTTCCCTGAAATCCCCCAACCGGAGCCAGCAACAAGGACCAGGATCAGAACAACAGCGCCTGTCACATGATGAGGTTTGACACTCTTCTTCCTATCACTATTTTTTTAAAGAAGTACTGTTCAAACTGTTAAAAACTCCATGGTTCTAGTTTAGGACAAAAAATTAACTCTTATGGTATCCATGGACGATATTAGGTCAGAGTCAGTGCCTTTATAATCATGGATATCTTGCCTGTGAGATTTTCAGTAGATCTCTAATTTGAATTGCTTGATTAAGCATTTGACCTCTTTATTTAAAAGTTGCAAACTTGTTTATCCCATACCAAGATTGATATCAATGGGCAGTTTAAAAATCAATATTCTGAAATTTTTGTCAGATCTATAATGTGTTATGTTTTAAAAAAGAAATCTCAGTTTGAAAAGTGCTGCCTTCATGATGCATGTAGTTCTATGTAGTGCTTAAATCACTTTTGTCTGACTTTATTTCTGTTGTCAAATTGGTTGAGTCTGGTTGTCATGGATCATTTTAATTTGTATAAAATGAAGTTAATTTATAGGAACTGCATTGCATGTATATAATGGTTTGGGTATGTATTAAATTGAATACCCACTAATACATGTAACACAATGTCATCTTAATAAAACAATGGGATATTTACAAATCATTAATAAGCCTTATAAGTTAGAGATTTCAAGGGAACTGTTTCACCAGATTTCAAAAGTTATTATTTCTTTATATTTACACTTTATCCTCTATGTATTGATACAGTCCAATAGTGTTGATGTAAAGAAACCTTTAGCTTACATACTACATCAGTCGAATAGTGTTGAGGTAAAGAAACCTTTAGCTTACTTACTACATCAGTCCAATAGTGTTGAGGTAAAGAAACCTTTAGCTTACTTACTACATCAGTCCAATAGTGATGAGGTAAAGAAACCTTTAGCTTACTTACTACATCAGTCCAATAGTGTTGAGGTAAAGAAACCTTTAGCTTACTTATTACATCTGTCTACTAGTTTTGAGGTAAAGAAACATATAGCTTACTTACTACATCACATGATAACAAAATTTATGTAAAAAATGCAATACACCCAAAAGATGTTAGGACTAGCCAATCTTCTTATATTATTCCAGTTCATCTTTTTGAAGAAACAGTAGTGATATGAAAAACTTACCTTTTGCCTTCTCAATGTTGGGGTTGGAATTTGAGATTTACTTTTTCAGTTTTAAACATCTGCTTAACTCCAGTTCTAAATTAATTTTTAAAAATTTGCTCATGAAAGTGAATGGAAAATAATAATTATTAATTTTATTATTTTATTTAAAAAAGGTTTATTTAAATCTAGATTATTTACTTATCTTTTTTAAAACAGAGATAAAATTAAAGGTATCTTTTTATCTTTGTTTTAACATTTACCTGCGAACTATATGTAATGATTCAATAAAATAAGATACTTTTGTATTTAAAAAAAAGAGAACATTCATTTCATTTTTCATTCGGGTGTTGAGATTAGACGTTTAGAAAAGTCAACGAGATGGGCCATAAATTAACACAGAATGAATTTAGGGTTCCTGTCAAGCAAAAATAATTTTACAATGGGAAAGTATCTCCTGTATTATTGTTTTTTTCTGAGTGGTGGCATTTCTTTGGGGCATTAATTGTTCATCTGCCTGAAAAAGGAGACTCAACTTTGTCCTGATCCCATCCAGCAAAGCCTTAAGTGCTAGTCAATTGCACTCATCAGTACATCTAGGCAGGTATTCAACTTTGAAGTAAAAATCCTTCAAACGACATACAATGCAGTCAACTTGGCATGTATTTAAAAATCACCTGTCTATGCTGTCCAGACTTATGGATTTTAAAACAAATTTCTCATTTTCATAATTAACATATTTGCACATTTGGGGCATTTGTTGTTTCCATCCTTTTGTGTTTATTGTTTACAACTGAAGTTCTTTTATCACTGATCTCATGTATGACTGCAAATGTGTGTGAGCATTGCTAAATAACCATTGCTACACAATCGACAACATTTTAAAAAAAATTATTATTTTATGGTTGTAGTTTCGTCGCACTCTGCAATATGTTGTTAATCCCGGCGACCCAAGGCAGTTTCTCGATACTTTTCTTAAAATTGGAGAGGGCTCAACTGGTATTGTGTGCACTGCCATGGACAAATCACGTGGCAAACAGGTGGCTGTAAAAAAAATGGATCTGAGAAAGCAGCAACGAAGGGAGCTTCTGTTTAATGAGGTGAGGTTTTGATTGTCTTATCTAATTTACATTGGCTCCATTGTAGCAATGGGGAAAAAGCTGTAATATCCAGTTGACTCATTATATGTAATTATTTTTTGTGTGAAAAGTCAGATTAAGATATGGAAAAGATATAAACATTTTTGAACTAATGTTTTAAAGGGGTTTGCAGGTCCTTTAATTAATGATCTAATACATCATAATTTTACTTTTTCAGTGGTGTGACACTTCACTTAAAAACAATTTGAAGGGGATGCAGAGTATAGTTATTGTTTTAGAATTTTACAATAGAATGCTTAGGCTTCTAAGTTTAATCATTTGTAAATGATGGATAAAAAAGTTAAGCACTAGAAGACATGGCAGGGGTAATAATAAAAGCATCTAATGTTGCCCTACTTGCTTCCTGCTATTGCAAAGGTTCAACATCTAATAATCCAATTTTTGCATGTGTAACTGAATCAGGTTTTTATGTTTTGTATCCTGAAAATATGACAACTTTCCATCCCCTTGAAATATATATTTTGGAAATGGTAAATCAGATTTTAATTATGTTTAAAGAAGTATCAAGGTATAGATGTTTATTTTTCTAACATCATTGGATTTTTTTAGAAGTTTTTATCTTCTTTATAATTTATGCCCACCCAACACAATTCTCACCCCCCTAACTACAAAGTAAACAGATTTTCTAAAGATAATAAAATCTAAGTTTTTAATAAACATTTTACCCCTGGAATGGTAAACACACCCCCCCCCCAGTAATTAAAGTTTGTAAAAGACGAGGGGAGAGAGAGAGAAAGGGAGGAGGGGGGGAAGGAGGAGAAGACGAAACAGAAAGAAGAACCTGGGGGAGAAATTTTCTAAAGATAATAAAATCTAAGTTTTTAATAAACATTTTACCCCTGGAATGGTAAACCCACCCCCCCCCCACCCCCCCCCGCTACAGCACTCTTTTTGAACTCCCCCCTAATCTATAATAGATACAGGTTATAGAGTAACAAAACTTAAAATCCTACATGACGAAGATTGATTAAAATGTCAAGAAATTAGTGGACTTATAAGTTAAATTAATTTGTTTAAATGTATAATAGATTAAATAGTGAATGTAGACAATTTTTAAAAAGACATTGTTAAATGGAAAAGTAATAATGGTGTTTCAGTTTCACACAGATGATATAAGATTGATGAATTTATGTTTAAAATGCAGGTGGTTGTAATGAGAGACTATCACCATCCCAACATTGTGGAGATGTACAACAGTTACTTGGTTAATGATGAGTTGTGGGTTGTCATGGAGTTCATGGAAGGTGGAGCTCTCACCGATGTTGTCACACATAGCAGGTGTGTGTTATTTTATATCATGCAGGCTGGTTTTTGTTATGCATAATGATTAACTATGTATGACACTACACACATGTGGTCATATTTTTTAATGTTACATTTTTTTCAAAAAACCCTTTAAAAAAAAATGCAGACATATAAAAGGAGTATGGTTTTGATCAATTCAAAAGAAATGTTTTATTAGAAATATGAAAGCTTAAACTAGAGTAAAACAGAGAGGTGAATCAGAACCTAGAAATATTTTTATTTGGAGATTTTAAAAAAGAAAAAACTATTAAACAAACAACTCTCATTTCCACTTTAAGAATTTCATTTTTAGAAAAGCTTATAGTGTTTATAATAAAGATTTGAAATGAACGAAAGCCAAGGCAAATAAAATGTGTTTTTAGTTAGGATGAAGATGCCGTAAAAAATAATTTAATTCATGTCAGTATGAATTATATATATTAAGTACTATAAAGGTAAAATTTTAATTGTGTTGTTTGATTTTTTTTTTCTTATGTTATTTGACACTTAAATGGGATCAAATGCCTCAAATCATAAAAGAACCGTTTCCCTAATGTAAAATGTATTGAAATTGTTGTTTTCAGAATGGATGAAGTTCAGATTGCCACAGTGTGCAAAGCTTGTCTTAAAGCCCTGGCTTTCCTCCACTCTCATGGCGTAATTCACAGAGACATTAAGTCAGACTCCATTCTCTTATCACATGATGGAAAGGTGGGTAATGGCTGCTTAGAATCATGGTCCTTACAGTGAAAAGAAATATCTCTACCATTTCCAGGATTATTGTGTCCATCATTAAGTAAATTAAAAATGAACAATTGTATTTATTCATGGGCTGTTTATTTCTCTCCTTCAACAATTGAACAGATGTTTATGAAGTCTTGCGTAAAACTTAATGTTTAGCTGCAACTAGGACCAAGAGTCCCTGTTGCTTTTGGTGCGTGTTGTTTTATAAACATAACATGTGAATGATGAGTGATTTCTCATTATTTTGTCTTTCTATCACCAGGTAAAGTTGTCTGATTTTGGCTTCTGTGCACAAGTAACACCAGATCTGCCTAAAAGAAAATCCCTTGTGGGAACTCCCTATTGGATGGCCCCTGAAGTTATCTCAAGGCTTCCCTATGGACCAGAAGTATGAATCATTTACTCATCTTTGAACCTTCCTTGTTTGTACATATGCTATTCACATTGTGCCCTAATTAATTTTTCTATGATCTAAGAAATAATAAAATTTAGACCAAAATGTATTCACTATTTATTAACATATGTTAAATAAATAAAATACATTCAATTTTATAGTTTTTATAGGAATTAAATGTCCTACACGTGACTGCCTCCAAATAATTCTCTCAAATCATTGAACACAAAAATATATCAGCTTATTTTGAATAATTAATACATTTTCTAATTTAAAATTGAAAATATCATACCAGCAAAATTTGCATTTGTTATGCCCTTCTAAAACACTATAGCGTTATGATTTTTGTGTGCATTATTGCTCATGATTTTCGGTCATGTGTGTATGTTGATGAGATTTGTGAATTGTCATTTTTGTTTAGGTTGATATCTGGTCTCTGGGAATTATGGTCATTGAAATGATTGATGGAGAGCCACCATTTTTCAATGAGCCCCCACTACAGGCAATGAGGCGCATCAGAGATATGCCGCCACCAAAGCTCAAAAACACACACAGGGTAAGTGGTCCATTAACAATTTACCTAGGCAATGGGAGCCGATGAACAATTTACCTAGACAATGGGAGCCGGTGAACAATTTACCTAGACAATGGGAGCCGGTGAACAATTTACCTAGGCAATGGGAGCTGGTGATCAATTTACCTAGGGAATGGGAGCCGGTGAACAATTTACCTAGACAATGGGAGCAGGTGAACAATTTACCTAGGCAATGGGAGCTGGTGATCAATTTACCTAGGGAATGGGAGCCGATGAACAATTTACCTAGACAATGGGAGCCGGTGAACAATTTATCTAAGCAATGGGACCCGGTGAACAATTTACCTAGGCAATGGGAGCCTGTGAACCTGACCTTTTAGATAATTTGCTCAAATAGACTTATTATCTTTGTAGCACTGGTAGAAATCAGCTAAGAATTTTTTTTTTTCCTTTCAAAAATGAAAATTGTCTATGCTTGAGTAGTTATGTTGCTTCAATGGTCAAATCAATACTAAAATTATAGCATGCTCTATGTAAAGGAAATGTTCATTTAACTGGGAATAGGTGGATTTAATTTATATTAAAATTATTTGTACAAATGGGCTTTATAAATTATAATTTAAATTTGTTTACCATCATGGCTGTGTAGATGATATTGGTTGTACCTTGTTGTTGACAGGTTTCCCCGCGGCTGCAAGGTTTCTTGGACAGGATGCTTGTTCGTGACCACGCACAGAGGGCTACAGCGGCCGAGTTGATGCAGCATCAGTTTCTGAGGGAAGCCGGTGCACCATCTTGCCTCGTGTCTCTGATGCGCACCACCAGGCACAGCCCTTGCTAACTGTAAGACCCGTAGACAGCATTGTTGGGACGATCCCCTGACAAGGGCCCCTTAAAACAATATCTAGATGAACCCTTAAGTTTGAAAGGAATTCACCTTTAGCTTTGGATATGTACTTAATTTCATTACTGCATTGGTCAGCACATCTACTGGACATGGATGAAGGTAACCTGACCTGAAATGTGTTTGTGTTTACAGGTTTTGCCTTTTTAGTGTAAACATGACCTTAATGAGTGGTTCAATCAAAAAGACTATGCACCATCAGTTCTTCAGAAGCAAGCATTTTTACCATGAATTGTTTCATCTGACACATTGGTTACCAACTGACAATATTTTTTTGTAATGTCCACCTGATAATTAGTAGCTAGGTCAACATTTGTTATACAGTGGCTTCTAAGTTATTTATTTTCATCAAGTAAGCATGTAAATGTTCCTTGGTAGTTTTAATTTATATTTATAGTATTATTAGCTTTTAAAAAAAAATATTCCTGGTTTTTAATTTGTTCATAAAGGTTGTCTTATATATATCCTGCCCTCTTTATTATATTTATGAAACGGTTGCTTGAGTATGTGTATGATTCACTGTATTATGTTAATTAATACCCTACTCATTACTGTTCACAGTCCAAACATTATATTATATTGATTTAGTCTCAGTTGATGAGAATGCTTGTTTAGTTCTCTTTAACTGGTCACCCCCCACATTTTTATACATATTTTTTTTACCAATGAGGTTCTCAAAGGTTGTGAATATTTTAATTTGTTTTATTTTCTAAACAATAATTTTTCAATTTACACTTAAAAATTTGACATATCCAACTGGTTGTAAATTGATTTATTTATGGAAAGATTTCCTTGAGTTAGCACATCCTGACATTGAGGGGGGGACACTGCATGAAAATAAATTTAAATTTCCCCCCCAGTTGATCAGATATTTTTTATCGCCTGTTTTCTGTGTGAGAGCCGAATGAATTTAAAATTATTAATTTTACAAATAATTGTGAGTTTTTAAATATGCTTTTTGGTTCAAATTGGCTCATGCCTGGTTGTTACATGTACAGCAGTCAAACCAACTACACCGTCTTCATTGCCCTTTTGCTGTCATCCCCTAGGATAGGTATGGGCAAGTTCCAGGTGTTGGCCAGATTTTTATGTAAACTAACATTTCAAATTTTTATTTTCTGATCTGGGTGTTTGGCGTCAGATTTAAAATTTGTCTCGGTCGATTAGGGAGAAGATAAGCACAAAAGTTTGTACCATATTACATCAGACCTGTTTACTTTTAGGATTTTGGCAGATGACGTTCAATTTTGAGATGTCTTTTATGATTGTATGGAGGGACCCATCAGAACTATGATTTTAAGGGACCGGGTTGAAAATATATACATTCCGGTAGTTTTTTTCAGATAAAAAAAAATTAACAAATCTTGGGGTTGTTAGTTTTAACTTGCATTTGCATTCTATATTCAGCAGCGAATGAATTCAGAAATAGGATTATATATACGGTATGTTTATATATTTTCTATTAAGATACTGTATTGTACAATTTTGAGATGATATTGTACGATGTTTGGAGGTAAGCAGGTCTGTTACATGTGTTAAAGTTTTACTTAGTCTCACTGTGCTGCCACGGAAACGTTGTTTTCATCAATTTGTTGTTGGTATCAACATGTTTGGTTGTTGGTATCAGCATTTTTGCACCAACAACAAAAACAATCAATTTTGAACTAATCCAAACAAAAAAATGTGATGGGAGGCCCTGGTTCTCTGTTAGAATATGTTGTAAGAAAGCTGTTGTTCAATGCAAACATGTCATGAGAAAGCTGTTATTCAATGCAAACATATGTCATGAGAAAGCCTTTGTTCAATGGAAACATGTCATGAGAAAGCTGTTATTGTTCAGTGTAAGTGTAAGCACATTTCATGAGAAAGCTGTTGTACCCTTTAAGGATACAGCCCCTACCCAATAAACCCAGATGGTTTGTTTTCTCGCTCTGTTCTGTCAGCTTCCCCCCTGCACGTGTCTTCTTCATGCCGCTACCATTCCTGCTTCACGGTATATTTGATCATTTCCAGTCTTGTTGATATGTCTTCTAACTATTGTTCAATCAAGAGAAAAATAAAACGTACACTGATATGTTATTCCCTATCTATTGCCTTTGATTCACTTATGTATGACAAGAATTATTCAATTATGTACCGGTCCAGTTTGTAGCTTGTAAATAATGAACAAACCAAATTATTTTCTCATTTATTGTTGACATATTATAGTATATAGTGTCTGTTACTGTATCTTTTATACACGCCATTATTCTTGTTTTATACAACTTTTGTACAAATTTATGTCATTTTTAAGAAGTTGAAATGAAAGGTCATGGATAGAAAAGGGATGTGTGTTTGGTGAGGGGCTGTTGCAGATGTTCATCGTGTGCACCTGGCACGGATGTTCATTGTGTGCACATAAGACCCATCTTTTTGGTGATGTCGGTGCAACTGATCAGGGTGAGGAATATCTCATTACTGTGAGTGTACACCCCATGAAATATGTCTGTATCTTGTCATTTATTTACAAATGTGTAGCTTGGCTGAATGACTATCACTGTTCTGTTGTTTAAGATATTTCAAGATGAATCTGAAGCTGTAGTTAGTCAAAGGAAACTTGTTGATTCTTAAGAATTGTGTAAATAAGTTGGTTAATGATTTGAAATGTTTTGAATGAAATTGACCTTTTGGCAGTTGTCCCATTCTGCATTGAAATGGACACCTTTATTTCAGTCGGTTCTCCTATTGTGCTTGTTGACTTTATCAGGTTTGTTCTGAGCGGTCTGACTAGAAGCTTTGTAGTGCTGGTTCAGCAGAAACAAACAGTGTAGATATTAATAATATTATTGTAGATTAGAATGGTATTGCTTGCACACCACAGGAACAAGCACCAACCAAAATTATTAATACCCATGTTCTCTTCTTCTTTAACTGTTGAGATAATAAACCATGAATACATTAAATCATTCTTTCCACATAGAACAAAAAGTGCCTTCCTAGATAGGATATGTTAAAGTTCAATGGCTGCCAATTTCAATGAGAGTGCTAAAATAAAACATATATTCAGTGATTCTAATGTGTGTCTCATTTCAAAGTTTCTCATTATATTGATTACACAGTTTTAGCTTTTTTTTTTTTTACAAGTCCTTCCAAGTTTCAATATAAGCCTTATGACCTTTGTTATGCTTTCTTGGTTGTTTTTCACAAACGTTGTAGAAACTAGCAATACAGCTGTGAAAAAATAACTTTTTGTTTTAAAGTTTCTCATTATATTGATTACACAGTTTTAGCTTTTTTTTTTTTTTTACAAGTCCTTCCAAGTTTCAATATAAGCCTTATGACCTTTGTTATGCTTTCTTGGTCGTATTTCACAAACGTTGTAGAAACTAGCAATACAGCTGTGAAAAAATAACTTTTTGTTTTACAAAACGCAAATAGGAGTTTGGTCAGAACTTGTACGCGGTACTTGAATATATTTCTGTCTGTTAAATAGTGGTTCCTGCCATTTCTCATGCCAAACATTCCCTGCTTATTCAAGTATTGTGAAGGCAGACAAAATTGTTAAATTGTGTGCTCTGTCAATGTATCCATGGGACAGTCATCGGTTCGTTGATGGAGAGTTTGAGCATCTGCAGCTATTTCTCCATGAGTACAGCTGTTTTTATAGTCTGTGTGTTTCTTTTTTGTTTAAGGACAGTTTTACTGATCTTGTTAAAACACTGTTTTGGATCTAGCTATATTTCTAAATAATTCATTGGGTACACAGCTGCGGTATGCTTTGTAGCCCATGGCTGCAATATGGCGAGGGTCACTGAACCATACCTGGCCAGCGAGGGTCACTGAACCATGCCTGGCCAGCGCCAGGTCAGTAACAGCACGTACTCCAATAATTCATTTGATGTTGACAGACATCTGTTAAGCCTTATTGAATGGACAATATGTCTGGGTTGTAATCAATTGTAAGTAGCGCTCCTTGTCTGTTTCTCATCAAGTTGTACATAGGCATGTTTGCTGCAGTTAAAATTGTATGTGGCTTTCAGACTTTTTATTTTTCGTGTACCATTTTATGTTACTGTGTTGCACTACCGTGTGTTGTCTGTAGGTCTATGACAGTAGAAACTGCTCTGTGAAGGGTTAAAACTAAAGCTGTTGGCTGTGTTGATTATGTTAGCTGGGTCAGTCATTCTTTGTCTAGGGCCAACTGGGCCACATTTCTTCAGACAACTGAATTGACTTATAAAACAGCCCATTCCCCCAACTCTCTCCTGCCACTTGCTGCATGTGAAATGTTTGGGTATAATCCATTATAGCAGCATTGACAAAATCGAAATAGAACGGACTTGAGAGCAATTGTCTTCATACCCAACTTTTAGCTTGTGATAATTTCAAGCTTGAAATAAATGGTCATGTGATGCATCAACTACCAACAATAAAGCGCATTAAATGACATCTAATGAATTATACAGTGGGAGTATTACAGTAAACTGATTGAGCTGTGGTTAAGGATCAAAATGATTGAGTCGTGGTCATGGATTGAAATGATTGAGACTGTGATATGGGAAATCAAAAACAAAACTTGCTTGTAAATATTCATAATTAGATATCTCCTTGCATTTAGACAGTCTTCTAACCCCCTAAGTTTACCTGATACCTGCACTAAATTCTTGTTGTTTTTAAGTTGACCTTGGTTGTGTAGTGATTGCTGGCTTGGGGGGGGGGAAGGGGGGTGAAGGTCAGTATGTTTAGAATAATGTTTAGTTTATCATCAAGTTTGTTCTGCCCTTGTTTATGTTAGGGGCTTTTCAATCATCTCTTCTATTACACTTATACATATATGTATTTAAGACTGAACAAAATCTCTATCTATAACCATATATAAATATTAAAACTTTATAAGAAGATGATGTGATCTGGTTGTTTGGGTGTTTAAGGTGACGTGGGACACTGTTGCAAGTTCATGGTGCCAGTGCACTCCAGTGACAGGAGTCAATGTTGGTGTGGTGACATTTTAGCAACAGGAGCAAATGTTGATCTGATTACTGCGTGTGTGTGACAGCTTAGGGATAAAGAGTATATGTTGATTTGATTACTGTTTGGTGACAGAGTTTGACGCATGACATTGCCTGTACATTAGCTACATTAAACACACGGAGCAACTCTATTACTGTAAGACTGCCCTCAATTAATCTCCCCTTGTATTTTCATTACAAATAATAAACATGTTACTTTTGGAGAGTGGTTTTGTTTGTGTCTTTCTTATCCATCACAACTCTAATAGAAGCACTGGCTTGTTCATGTCATTCTGTTCTGTCAGGACTCTAATAGAAACCACTGGCTTTGTTCATGTCATTCTGTTCTGTCAGGACTCTAATAGAAACCACTGGCTTTGTTTATTTGCTTTCGCCATCTGTCAGTGTCACACAATAAACATTGACAAGATTCGAGTATTGTAACAGATCTTCATGGGCCCACTCCAGCATTGGCTGTTCATTTTGGATGAGGTCCTAGATGTTTCACGTGGGCGTTTCATCCATGTCAAGGAAGTGAAACGGGGCCACAGTAGAAGTTGAAGCAACTCTGAGTGGTAACTCTGACCGTCGATCATTTTCACGGCTACCTCCCTTGGCTAAGAGCAATCGGTCCCTGCCCACCCCACACTTCAAAATTTAAAAAATAAAAATAAATCCATGTTCCTTTTAAATGGTCCATTGTCCAAATGTATTGATGTAATGATAAAAATAAACTGACGGTTTCCGTCAGGTAACGGTTGCCTCACCTCGAGTGACTCAATGGACGAAACTACGATGTTGTGAACTTGACCTGAACAAATTTAATCACATCCCACGCCCACTCCTCATGTTTAGTAATTCCCTAGCGTCATAAATATCCCCCCAACCACCACCACCATCAGAGTGGTATAAATAGATTGATACCACAAGCTGTTTCCGACATAGGACGGTGCTGCTGCTGTTATGATGTGACGCAATCAGGGACATTATAAAGGATCGTTGAAGTTGAACAGTTTTGTGTCCTGTTTATTAAGGCCAACCCCCGTATGTTGATACGGGAGGGAACTTACGGCCTTAACGCACCATTAATAAAGACGATATTTGTTTACTATGGACGAAACCAGGGATTCTCATACTCTCACTTCTGATGCCACCATCAAATGGGATAACTTATACTAGATTGATCCAGCATGACATTTCTGCTTAAATATGCATGCTATTTTATAGCACACATATCCACTAATCCATGGATTTCTGTACCGGTACTTGAATCGGTATATAGAAATAGTGAATATTTAATTATATTAAATAATTAAATTTTAATCGAATGTTTGATTTAGATTCACTGACAAAAAGCACAATCCCTCAAACCGCCCCCCCCCTCCCCTTAAACCCTTGTTTTATAGTGTGGTAAAGGGGGTGAGTGTATCAAGTTTACAAGTTATATAAAAAAAGAGACAATAAATTTAACATGATTTTTTTTTTGGGGGGGGGGGATTTGGAAAGAGAAACTTGGGTAAATTTCGAAAAACGTCATCAGCCGAAGATGCCGCCCTTCCACATGCAGAAAACTATGCCGCCCGGGGTGGACCACCCCCTTTCCTACGCCACTGCACTGTAGATATTTCAATTGTCCCCCAGTCCATTTTACACTGCTATTTAAAAAAATAAATATATATATATCAAAGACACCGGTGCAGAACATGCACCTTTTGAATAGACTTTTTTCTATTATTGATAGAATTTTTCTATTATTTGATAGAATTTTTCTATTATTTGATAGAATTTTTTTTGAAACACAGAGACCGGTCTCTGAAGAACGTGACGTCATAAGTGAGGATTTGGTCGATTCCTCGTTATTATTCATTGTATCTAAAAACAAAAGTACATAGGAAAACTGAACGAGGCCTAACACTCCGACAAATCTTACACTCGGTAACTAGTCGCCTCCCTTGAACACGAAGGGGGAGGAATTCTCCACGACGGAAATCTCTGTAAATATTTGGGGACTTATTCACTGCTAGGTTTGGCCAGCTCGAAATAACCTGGCCACATCAGTCGATGCCCTAAACGCCATTGTTTCCATGTTAAAGGGGGGTCGGGGCGGGGGGGGGGGCGTTGGATAGGCTGGGTGGCTAATCTACGCTGAATGGATAAGTGGATGAGTATTATGGAATGTACTGAATGGATAAGTGGAAGGGTATTGAAAGTACAGAATCATAAAGGCGGGAACCCCGGTGGTCAAGTAGAAATGAGAAATGCTTGCCGGAACAGTGGAGTGGTTCCCAAACTGTGCGCGGTAGAGTGGGTTATGGGAATGGGATGCATCCACCATCGTGGGGAAAAAAACAACAAAGTAATCGCATACATTTTCTTTTGAAGCAACATAAACAGTGAAATATCAACGTTTGTGAGTTGTTGTTGTTGTTATTATATTTGAGGGCCCACAATCAATTTATTGATCATTTTGGCTCCTGGTTTGAATTCAGAGTTAGTCTTCTCTTAGATGAGTTGCCTTCCACTGCTCGAGTCCCATCCACCCAGGCTTTGGCAGTTTAGACCATTTGGCCACCCATCACCACAAGTAGATTTGTTCTACTTGCTTGCTTTAAAAACTCATATGACAATGTTTAGGAGAGATTGAAGACTTTTGAAAATACCATACAAAATAAGGGTAAACCAATGATGACTTTGATTCAAGCCAAATCAAGCCGTATGGTAGTAGAAACTTAGCTGGCCGTACGGATGTTTACGTGTTTGTTGTTGTTAGCTTCGCAAGTTTGTGTTCAAAAATATGGGCTGTGCCAAAATTTTTGGTCAGATTTTGAATATTTGTCGGTGAAATTTATTTTTGAGTTAGCAGCCCTGTCTCCAACACAATCACACCACAGGCTTCTGTAACACAATCACACCATGGGCGTCTGTAGCACAATCACACCATGGTCGTCTGTAACACAATCACACCATGGGCGTCTGTAACACAATCACACCATGGGCGTCTGCAAAACAATCTCACCATGGGTGTCTGCAAAACAATCACACCATGGTCGTCTGCAACACAATCACACCATAGTCGTCTGCTACACTCGCACTCGATCAATGGCCAATGGAACAGATTCATTGGTTGAGATAAACAAAAAACACACACAAAAAAAAAAGACCTCACCGTTGTGACGTCACTATTTCCTAGCCCCCGGTTGTCAAGAAGTGGACCAAGGTACCCTGGCCTGATTGTTGGTCAATCTCGTGACGGTTGTCGGACCGTAGGTGGCTGTGGGGCGTGAAACTATAGCAACGAGGATCATAGCACCGACGTCAACTCTGATCGCTGGTGTACAGCGTGTCGAGTAGCTACAGAGTTTGAAGCACCCGAGGGCGGTCTTTGACTTAACCGCTCCTAAATTCCTAAAACTACAATGCTCACATTAATACACATAAAGAGTAAGCGATAAAAGAAAATGAAGCGGGCCGAAAAATTCCGCCCTAAAATTATTGCCACCTTGGGCGGACGGCCACTTCCGCCCCTCTTCCTTCGCCGGTGTATAGTATAGGACTGAGTATTTGACACATCCTCTGGGAATGATTCAAACAGGCTGATTAATGATACTACCCCGTCCATGAAGTATAACGTGTCTCGTTAGTAATGTGGACACACGTAAACCGTTCTTTAACATCAAGGCGGATTTCATTTAATAATTATAACCTACATGTCATCTTAACGCTATCATCATTTAATCCCATTCAATAAACAATCAGATAATCAGATATGTTTTAAATGTGCATTTTGTTTTACACCTTATTCGCAAAAAAAATGCATTGCCAGTAGGATGCTAAGTCTTACGATTTTACCACACTCTAAACTTTTAGTTATTCCCCCCCCCCTCCCGGCCCAGGTGTTTCTCTTAAAACGTAGATATAATATGAACACATTTTTGAAAAAGAAATTCGTTAAATTAACAGCCCTTGAAAACAAAGTTTTTGGTAGAAATCATTTATTAACATCGGGGGGGGGGGGGGGGG